TACCGCCTGGAATCGCTTGATATGGTCTCTTTCCAGAGCTTGGTACTTTGTCATTCTATCATTTTTAGCTTCGTAAACCCCAGACACTTGGTTGACAACAAGTTGGGAATCGCTGTAAACCATCAGCTCGGATGCGCACACCTAGAGCGCGCTCTTAAGTCCGGCCAGTAGCGCCTCGTATTCAGCCTCGTTGTTTAATGAAATCCGAGGGTGATAGAGTGTTCGATGGTCAGACCATCTAGTGAGATCAAAACTATGCCCAGCCCGGCACCGTGATGGTTTGAGGCTCCATCTACAAAAAGTTTCTACTTTTCGCCGACGAAGAGTTTCCAACACTCTGAGGGATCTTGGGAGGCTTGGAAGTTGCTGGGATCATGGTCGCTCGGCCGTTCAGTTTCAGGTTCAATGCTGATCGGTTCCACTTCCCCCCCTCGGTGACGCGGTACCGGACCAAACAGGTTGGTCTGTTATGCCTAAGTCCGTCGTCGCATCGCCGGGCTGATGTATCATGCCGGATGGAGGTTCTATGGCGGGGCGCGCAAGTTCCGCGTCGCCAACATTGCCCTGTTATGCAATTGCGGTTGAATCTTCGTTTGCTTCCTCGGCTACCGTGGTGAGATCCACCGAACATACTTGGTGAATCCCAGGCGAGAACTCAGCAACAAAATCTGCCAATACTTGAGCTTTTATGGCTGTTCGGGGTTGAAACTTAACGGCAAATTGTCCCAACTCGACTGCCCACTTTAGAATTGGACCGGAGAAATCCGCCCGCTCGAACAAGGCTTTTAGGGAAAATTTGGTCAACACAATAATTATGTGAGCATGAAAGTAGTGCGCCAATTTCTTGGAGGCCATCATCAACGCCAAAGCGAGTTTTTCCAGTGGCAAGTACCTCGACTCTGCTGGTTACAAGGTTTTACTCACATAAAAGATAGAGAAATGCTTTATACCTTCTGACCGGACAAGTACCGCGCTAACAGCGTACTGAGAAACTGCGAGATAAAGGTAGAGTTCTTCGCTGGGCTTGGGTGCCACCAACAAAAGAGCAGAAGACAAATACACCTTGAGCTCGGCCAAAGCCCTGTCGTATTCCTCGTTCCATGAAAACTTGGATTTCAAGGCTTGAAAGAAAGGGCGGCAGCGATCTGATGACCGACTTATGAATCTGTTAAGCGCGACTGCCATACCGGCAAGATGCTGCACATCCTTTGCCGAGTTGGGCTACTTCAATTCTTGTACGACTTTGATTTGTGTGGGGTCTGCCTCGATGCCTCGGTTTGTGACTAGGAAGCCCAGGAATTTCTCGGATCTCACACCGAAGGCACACTTTGACGCAGTCAAGCGTAGCTTGTGCTGTTTAAGAATAGCGAACATCTCGGCTAGGTCGATAATTGGTCAGCCTGTTGCTTGCTCTTAACCACCATGTCATCGATGTAGGCCTCCATCGTCCGGCCAAGTAGAGGAGCAAACATCTTGGTCACCATCCTTTAGAAAGTCGGCACAGCGTTCTTCAAACCAAAAGGCATGATTCGATAGTAGAATAGTCCCCTTGAGGTAGTGAAAGAGGTTATCTCGCGGTCAGGGCCATGCATGGCAATCTAATGATAACCGCGGTAGGCATCCAAGAAACTGAGCCTATTATGTCCGGCCGTTAGGTCCACCAGCTGGTCTATTCTGAGCAGAGAAAAGCTGTCTTTAGAGCAAGCTCAGTTGACGTGTAGTCAACACAAACCCGCCACTTCCCATTATTCTTGGGTACTACGACCATGTTTGAAATCCATCGAGGGTAGTCCACTTCCTGAATAGCCTGTGCTTCAAGCAAGTTCCTTACCTCCTCCGCGACTACCTTGGCGTGATGAAGAGTCGATCTCCTTGTTTTCTGAATGACTAGCTGCGCATCAGGGAAAACATTGAGTTGGTGGAAAATAAAACTTGGATCGATGCCAGGCATGTCGTAGGGCGACCATACGAAGACTTCGATATTTGCCATCAAGAACTCTACCATCTCGGTCCTTTCTTGAGCGGCCAGGCTTGATCCGAGCAAAAAAAACTTGTTTGGACTTTTCGTGTCGATCCGTACTTCTACCAAATCTTCAACAGCTTTGTCCTCGGCCCTGATGCCCACATCATCAAGGACACTCTGGTCTTCCGGGCCTTCAATCATTTGCACGAAGCCTTTGGCAGCTCGGCTCTCGTTCACTGCCACGAAGCATTTCTTCGACATGACTTGATCGCCCCAAATTTCCTCAATTTTCCCCATAGCCGAGAGAAATCTCATAACCTGGTGGTAGGTCGATGCTACAGCCTACATAGCGTGAAGCCAGCCCCTACCGAGGATCAGATTGCATGTAGACGGTACCTGCAATACCTAGAACTCCACCTACTTGACCACGGATCCGGTTTTGACAGGTAAAATTATTTTTCCCAAAGGCCACTTCAGTTGCGAGTTGAAACCTACCAGTGGCAAAGTTGCTGGAGCTAAGTCTGTATCTCGGAGTTTGAGTTATTTGAACGCGTCATAGTTCATAATTTCAACCGAGCTTCCGTGGTCAATCAAGATGCGTTTGGCATCGAGGTCTTTGACACGAAGGGTGACCACTAGGGCGTCGTTGTGTGGCGTTTGAATGCGCTCTAGGTCCCTTGTGAAGAAACTAATCACGTCTTTTTCCTCGGTCTTTCCCTTTTTGATCGCGGGTTAGACTGATAAAACTTCCCTTATGTGTTCCGCCTTTTTGATCATTTCTCGAAGCTCGCATACACACGCCGGCTCCACTATGCTATGGATCACATTAACCACTCCTTGAGGGGGCTCCTCCAAATCATCTGGTCTATACGGATCAGCCGGGGCGGGATGCGCGGCCTTAACACCCCCATCAATGTAAAGATTTAGGTGTCCGGCTGCGACTAACTCCTCCAAGTGTTGCTTCAGAGACAAACAGTCCTCTGTCCGGTGTCCTCGCTCCCAGTGATATGTACAGCAGTACCGCGAATTAAAACCCTTTTGCGCGTCGCCTAACTTAGCAGGAAACCGGACATAATCCTCGTCACGGATTTCACTAAGTATGCGATAGATTGGAATCTTAAAGACCGTGGTGATGCCCGTCCGAGCTTTCAACCTTCTGTTAGCATCAGCTATGTCATTGTAGGGGTATTCAGCTCGGTCATTCCGACGACCCCTTCCCCGGTTTTGATGATTTGACCCACGGTCAGATTCCTTGGCGCGATCATTTGGACGGTTAGTCTCATGTCCGACCGTGTGTACCTTGTCAGCCGACCTCTTGTTTGTTACCACCGGAGTTGTCTTCATGGTTGACGATGCCGCATCATCCTCTACGTGGATGTGCTCATTGATGCGCTGCATTAGTTGGCCCATGGATGTCGGCTGGTTCATGGTAAGCGAGTCTCGCAGCCTATGTCCGACCAGGAAACCGCGCTTATATTGGGTGATTGCCAAGTTGATCGGGCAATCTAAAATCTCATTGAAGATTTTCCAGTATCTGGAGTTGTATGCCTTGAGTGTGTCGCTCGACTCCATTTTGACACTGAGAAGGTGATCCACCTCCTTTGGCGTTTTAGTGTTGGTCTTGAAACGAGTCACAAAGGCTTTCACCAACTACTGCCACCTTTCGATGCTTCTCTCCGGCAGCCTCTCAAACCATTTCAAGCCCAGCTCGCCCAAACTCGACGTGAAGATAAGGCACATAAGAGCGTCATTGCGCCTATGTCCGGCCATGACCTGCCGGAAGTGGCTTATATGCATGTATGGATCGGTCTTTCTGTCGTAGAGTGTAAACTTGGGCTGGTGAAAGCCCGCAGGGAGCAGTGTGGTTTCTATCTCAAGGGAGAAGGGGGTGGCGTTCAGCCTCGCCAAATCTGTGTCTGGAGGGACAGCCATGGCCGGGCGGGGTGGCGGCATTATGACCTCCTCACTGGCGTGACCCCTGTAAGATAGCCGCTGGAGCGCCGGCACCCTTTCGGCCTCCCGTCGACGAGCTCACTCCTTCAGGACATCCCTCAAGTCCTCTGAACGGACGAAGTAAGAATATCTCGAAGTGGTCGCGCGGACGTGAGGGATGGTAGGTACTATCTTGCGTGCTAGACTTCTCTGCAGGCGTGTCTAGGTCTCCACCCCTATAGCTTCTGGTGATAGAAAAGGAAGGAGTGCCCCGCTGGCTCTGGCTGCCTGAACGGCGGGGTTGGGTGCACTCACTGTGGTCTCTCACTCCAGCAACACCCTTCCCTTTGACCTGGCGTTTGAGAGCTTCCATCTCCGCCGCCATTTTCTGGATGACAGTGTCTTGGTCCCTTAACTTGTGCTCCAAACGTCTAGGTGCCGTTTGGTAACACTTACGTTTTCAGTTTTCTGTTTATATTTACAAAAATTTTAAAAATTCAAATAAAAACTTGTTTGGTAAAATTTTTGATTTATAAATCAATGGTCTCAGTTTATAAATTTAGCTAAAAAATGAAAACACAAAAAATGTGTTTCCATTTTGAGTTTTTAGTTTTTTTTTTTTTAACCACCCAACACTAGCTACCACCCGCCACCATTTTCCACCACCGTCTTCCGCCACCACCACCCACCACCACCTGCCACCACCACCTGCCACCACCACCCACCACCCACCACCACCCGCTTGCCACTACCATGCTTTTACAAGTAAAATATGCTAAATCACTTTTGTTTAAGTAATTAAAAATAAAAAATAATTTATTTAATGTGTACTGTAATTTTTTATTTATCAAAAATATGATAAAAACAATGTCATATTTAAGCAATATCTAATAATTTTGGTCCGGTGGAATCAGTATGATTGAATCAGTATAACTTATAAGAGGGCACTGAGATTGAAAGTGGAAACACGAATGAATGTAATGCATGACCTCAAAGCCTGTCGGCCAGCGAAAACACACTCCACTCTGATCCTCTACTAACCGTACACGTGGCCCTCCTATTCACTGCACAATGCTGAGATGTTGGAGTGTTCATCATGATCTTAGCAATTCTTGATATTTATATTTAGATTTAAATAAATGTATGTATGTATGTTCTATGATACATTGCATTCAGCCAAGAGCAAGAGTTTTGAACAACCAAAAAAATGCGGCAGCTGGTTCTGCTTCAAGATTCATCAACATGGCTTAGTAGTTGTTTTTACACAATGATCTATGCAATCTTGTTATGGTTGATATTTCAAATAATAGCAAAGATCTTCTTATGGCATAGTACTAGTCCTCCAGAATCAACGGTTCAGATTCCACCAGGCAATCGAGGATTGCCATTGATAGGAGAAACCTTGCAGTTTATGGCTGCCATCAATAGTAGCAAGGGCTTCTATGACTTTGTAGAGGTTCGCAGACTTAGGTAATGAGTTCCATTTATTTTCTTTTAGGTTCGTGTTCAAACTTTTCAAATCTTTGATCAACTAGATCATTTTGTTAGAACTCGACTTGAGCTCGAGTTCGACTTAGCTCATTTGTAACTCATTTTTTTTTTTTTTTAAATTTGATTCATATATAAGATATTATAATAAAATTCAATTAATTACAATCTTAGTAATGGAAATCAAATACAACATATAATCAATATGAAAAGAAACTCCTAAAGTAGGAATAAGACACACACAAGTGCAAAGATTCGAACCACTAATCTCCTAGCGAGAGATGTATGAATTATAGCCTATAATTTATATTACAACCCTTAAAAGATCAAATTAGAGCACTATAATTGCTGGTTTAGCTCACTTTACCAAAATTTTGAACACCTGGCCCACTCCACCAAAATTAATCAAAAAATATCTTACTTTATAGAATTAATAATAAAATATTATCCAAAGATTTAAAAATATGAAAATTTGTAGAGAACAATTGTAAAAGTCAATGTATTTATAAATATTTTTGTCAAAATAATTATTAATAATTTAATAATATAGATGAAAAACATTACTAGATGTGATTTATTTTCTACAGAACTTGTAATTGTAAAATTTTAAAATAAAAAATTCTAGAGTTGACGCCACTGAGTGATACTGAATTTTGTTTGTAGCAGGTATGGGAAGTGCTTCAAAACCAATATATTTGGAGAGACACATGTATTTGTTTCGAGCACTGAATCAGCAAAGACAATACTAAACAATGAATTGGGAAGATTCACCAAGAGATACATAAGGTCGGTTGCAGAGGTAGTTGGAGATCAAAGTTTGCTCTGTGCTCCCCAACAACAACACAAGTTCATCCGCAACCGCCTTTCCAATTTGTTCTCTAAAAGTTCTCTCACGCATTTTGTCAAACAGTTTGATCAACTAATTATAAATCAACTTACTAGCTGGGAACGTCAAGGCACTGTAGTGGTACTGGACCAAGCCCTCAAGGTAGATTAAATAAACAAAAAAGGAGGCTTTCTTTGAGCCCCAAACATA